TAAAAAAAAAAAAAATTAATTGCTATCTTGACCAAAAATATTTAAGTGAAAGGAGTATTCTGACATAAATGAAAACCAATTATGATTATTACTCAGATATACTCTACTAAATAAAGGTCTATGAAAATTCGTCTTCCCAGAAACTAGCATGGCTAGTTTTAACCTGTCATTCATGAACATTCTTTTTACTCACTGCTTTAGTTTTTTTTAAGGATGGAGTAAGATAGAGCGAACCGAAAAGAATAACATTGAAAAGATGAGGGTCAACATCATTATTTATCTTGCGCGTTTGGGTATTTCATCAGGTAAGTCTTCCTCAAGTTGGCCTTAATTTCTGGTGACCCTCTGGCCGCAACAGTGTAATTTTCCTTGCAACAATACAAAAGTGATTCACTTTTTCCTTCTTCCAATATGCAGAATTCCCAGGTGAGTCTGGAATGTGCTTGGATGCACACTTACCACCTGTTGACACTTATTTAAAGATTTCTTGAGCATCCCCACACATTCTGAGTCCCCTTTTCCTCTTTGAATCCAAAGTGCCGTGTGACCCTAATCTTTCATTCATAAACTGTCCTAGCGGGTGGTTGCAAGAGAGATCGTACAGAGTAAAGAAGGAAAACACACCAAAAATGTATATTGTACAACAAGCAGATGCAAGGGCTTATTTACAAACAAATTCCAAAGGTGTCTGAACAAATTACCTTGAAACTTATAAACTGTGGAAATGACACCAAGTATCTCCACTTCAAAGTCAATTTCTTCTTCTAGCCCTCCGGCCTCTGTCTGTGTCCTCCTCGTTTTCTTTTTCACTTTAAGCACCATGGAAGAGGTAGGGAAGCGATTGGCGCACACAGGGTGGCAGTAGGGGTCTTTTGGACGGAAATACAGCTCAAGTCTTTTGGTGGGATCGGCATAGATCTAAGAAGGACGCAACAGCCAATAGGTCAAGCTTACTTCCCAATGATGACATGGGCATGTCTATTAAGTTCTCCTCAGCATCAAGACAGAAGTGATTTGCCAGAAGCGATATTCCCCTGGGACCTTTCCCCCCCAATTTTCCAGTCTTTGTACAGTCCTGCAATTTCTTAGTCACTTCCCACCCGTATATTAACCTGATCTTATCTTTTTCAAGATCCGCCAAATGCTGCCATCAGCTGTGACTAACAGCCATAAGGGATAACTATTTATTTATTTATTTATTAAGCAAATTTAAATCGCCACCCATCACACCAAAAGCGACTCTGAGCAGTGTACATCAGAACACTGATAAAAACCACATAAAAATAGAAAAAAAACACATTAATAAATATCATACAAACCAAGATAAAAAACCACAGGGGAGGGAGAATAAAAATGGCCCCCTCAGCAACTATCAAACCCAATGTGATACTGCAAGCTATAAAGTAATGTTCACTTTTTCAAATAAAGCGACTAACCCATTTAGACACACCGACACAAATCAACCACATAATTCACCAACGTTCTAGCCTGCAAGCATCATTTAGGACCAGAATTAGTTTTTTGATTTAGTATGCTCTAGATATCTGTCAAAGTTTATTTCGGTCAAAGACCAGTCTAGAACAAAACAACCAACTGTTTAAAAGTAAAAGAGGAGAACTAAATATAAAACACAAGCTAAAGGAATAATACAGAATATTATTATTATTATTACCAGCATAAGCTGTGTCTCTAGAACTAAGAAAGTGTTATTTGTCTAAAACTAAGACACAGAGCTAAAATTCTAAGATGTCTGTAGCATGGGCATATCTAAACGAGATGGTAAATCATGATTAAAAACGACCTGAACTATTTTAAGAGAAAGCCAATGCACTCATTCCATTCTATGGAATTCTAGCTAACCAGTGAATTATTAGGGCAGAAATAAACATTTTCCCAGGCTAGTTCATGATCAGTATGAAAGGGAAAGGACTCTGCCCCCAAACCCCAAATTTTAGTCATTGGAATCCTAATGCCACCCACTCAGGGGAAAAAACAACAAAAACTTTTTTGAAACCATACATGGGCTTTTTGTTGAAGGAAGAAAAGACTGAATTGATGATTTCTGGATTTGGGGATTAAAAAGGGCCAAAGAGGATGGGGGAAAGAATAAGGTGGTAACTACTCAACAGAAAGAAGGGCGGAAGGCATAATTATGTTTTCTTCTTTTTTCATTTATTTTTTTTCTTACTTTCTTTTTGTTTTGTTTTGTATACTTTTACCGTATTGAAACATTTTTCGATACAGTAAAATTTTTTGATACAGAAAGTACACAAAACAAAATTCAGCTGTGCTATTGGATGGATGGATGGATGGATGGATAGATAGATAGATAGATAGATAGATAGATAGATAGATAGATAGATAGATAGATAGATAGATAGATAGAT